TGTCTATAAAAATTCAGAATATTTAGTTTCCTTATCTTGGTTCTCTAGTCTTTGATTAATCCAGCTTCAACGAAAATTAGATATCGACCACCAATAAGCCTATTTGATCCGTTGCAAATTTCTCCATCTGATAAAAGTGTTTTAAATATTCTGCTTGATTCTAATGTGAAATGAAAATTGAGAAAGAATTTTGGAAAAACAAAGAAAGCAAATGAAATCTACTTTTATAATTTTTATGATTTTCAAATATTATATTTTTGATCTAAATTTCTTAACCCGAATCTTTCGAAATTTTTTCCTTATGATTCTTTCGAAATCAAACTAAATTTCAATCAGATTCTAGAGATTTTTCTGTAGAAAGATATGATAACAAATGCATGTCACACGCGAATGAACAATATGATAAAAATGAAGCAAATAAAAATCTAATTCTACCTTCATAAAAAATTCAAAATATTTAATTGACATCTTGGCTCTATTTAATCAACTAAATCAATTCCGAGATTCAATGAAAACTAGATATCAACTAATCCTCATTGAGCTATTGCAAATTTCTCTATCTGATAAAATATTCTGTTCGATTAAAATGGAAATCGAGAAAGAATTTTGAGAAAACAAGAAAGCAAATCTATTTTTAAAATTTCTCCACTTCATTTTGAATCTTACACTTCTATTTTAAATCTCCACAGATTCCTCAATCAGAATCCTTATGATTCCTTCGAAATTAAACTATATATTTCCATCAGATCCCAAAAATTTTTCTGTGAGAAGATATAATAACAACAAACAAATGCATGTCACACGCGAATGAACAATATGTTAAAAATGAAGCAAATAAAAATTTAATTCTACCTTCATAAAAATTTTAAAATATTTAATTGACATCTTGGCTCTATTTAATCAAATAAATCAATTCATAGTTTCAATTAACCAATCCTCCTATTGCAAATTTCTCTATCTGACAAAATATTCTGTTCGGTAAAAATGGAAATCGAGAAAAAATTTTGGGAAAACATTAAAAAAAGCAAACAAAATCTACTTTTAAAATTTCTACGCTTCATTTTGAATCATACCCTTTTGACTTGAATCTCCACAGATTCCTCAATCAGAATCCTTATGATTCCTTCGAAATCAAACTAAATTTCCATCAAATCCCAGAAATTTTTCTGTGAGAAGATATAATAACAACAAACAAATGCATGTCACACGCGAATGAACAATATGATAAAAATGAAGCAATTAAAAATTTAATTCTACCTTCATAAAAAATTCAAAATATTTAATTGACATCTTGGCTCTATTTAATCAAATAAATCAATTCATAGTTTCAATGAAAATTAAATATTAACCAATCCTCCTATTGCAAATTTCTCTATCTGACAAAATTTTCTGTTCGGTAAAAATGGAAATCGAGAAAGAATTTTGGGAAAACATTAAAGAAAGCAAACAAAATCTACTTTTAAAATTTCTACGCTTCATTTTGAATCATACACTTTTGACTTGAATCTCCACAGATTCCTCAATCAGAATCCTTACGATTCCTTCAAACTCAAACTGAATTTCCAGAAATTTTCCTATACAAGGGAGGATACAAAGGCAACAAACCAACGGACAAACATTGCACGTCAGCCGCGAACGGGCGACGCGATAAAAATATGCATGGAGAACTCTCTCCTTCTCTTTTTCTCTCTCTCTCTCTCGAATTTCCACATTTTCCAGCTCCAGTCGACGACAACGTCGATGCGGCGCCTTGTCCGTTCCATTATCGGACGGGAAAAAGGTATTCGCTCGACGGCTCGGCGATCCTGTTGCGTCGCAAAATCGGAGCGCGTTGCGGCGAGACAGTTACATATTATTCGCGCGCAACCTTTCATTACACGTCTTTCCATTCTACTCCACGGGCGTATTATTGGCACGTGTTTCCATTAGCCTTATCGCGCATCCCTATCGGCCGTATAGGTAAGTTCCTCTTTTTATTTCCACCCGCCGTCATTCGTCATGCGACGCACGTCGAAGCGACGCGATCGCCGATTGTGTGCGCGCCAGTATGTTTTATATAAATGTTTCATGGAGGGAGGACGAGGCGGAGAGCGGAAAGAGCGCGCGACGCGATCGCGCTGGAATGTCTGGACATTCCTCGCGACTTTCTTCATCGAGTGATAAAATTCAAAATGCAGCCTTGATGAGTCTCGATTTTAAGCGTTTCAAAACGATGCTCGTAAGTTGCCAACAATCGGTGCAAGACGCTCTCCAAAAGTTGCGCTCGTCGTCAAAATGACACGATTGCGACTTAAAACTGTCTATCGGTAATTTTGATTAATTTGATAGAGGATTAACGATCGATACTTGCGACCCTTTTGTCGAAATCGCGAATAATGTGAACTTTTTCGAGGAGGAAGGCATCGATATCTTTACCTTAACTGGCAGACGCGCGAGATGAAAAAAGGCGCCTTGCTTGAGAGACAGAGACAGAGGGGGGACCTTATTTAAATAATAACGTCGGTGGCTGCGACTTTTAAGAGCTGCCTGTCCCATTCCGCCTTACATGGCATGACAAGATTAGATAAAATGTCCTGCAGCGAGGCCCGAGAGCGGAGGCCGGCGCGTTTCGCTTATATCACTTCGAAAAGGCACTTTATTCCTTATTCAAATTAGTTAAGGCTGCTTTGAATACAAGCGGGGCGTGCGCGCCAGCACCGCTCAAATATCGGCCGGCGGCATTAAAATACAAAAGGATTTTCGGAACGAGCGAATTCAGGACGCATCCCGGCGACGGCTTCCGCAGGAAATCTGCCAGCTCGCTTTCACCCCCCCGGCACTCGCTTCGCGAACATTTATCCTCGCTTCGTATTCGATTATTCGATTAAGAATTAGTTTCCCTCCTCCCCCTTCGTACGATTCTGTAGACAGATCGGAATAGATATTAAATTCAAATTAACATTTCAGAAATCGAAATCCGATTTTTTCTTAAATTTATTTAAAAGAGGGAAGATTGTTTTCTCTAGAAACTAATAAGGAGCTTGAAATCTCTTTATACTGTCTAGAAATGATAATTAAATATTTAAGAAAAATATATGCACATTTTTGAAGATTTCTCTTCATAAAGTAAACAACTGCAAATATCTTTTCGAAAGCGTAATTTTTTTATGAAGAAATTTATTTAAAAGAGGAAATTAGAAATAAGATTGATCTTTATTTCTAGAAAATAATAAATTTAGAAAAATAAATTTTAAATTTCATAAGTAAACAATGCAAATATTTTTCGAAACGTATTTTTTATAAGAAATTTATTTAAAGAGGAAAATTATTTCTAAAAAATAAGGTTAAAATCTCCTTGTGTTGCCTAGAAATAATAATTAAATATTTAAGAAAAATATATGCACATTTTTGAAGATTTCTCATAAAGTAAACAATTGCAAATATCTTTTCGAAACCGTAATTTTCTATGAAGAAATTTATTTAAAAGAGAAAAGATTATTCTCTCTAGAAAATAATAAGGAACATGAACTTTCCTTGTGTTGCCTAGAAATAATAATTAAATATTTAAGAAGAATATGTATATGTATATCTCGAATATTTCTCACAAAGCAAACAATTGATCTTCTTTTCAAAATCGTGACTTTTTCATGGAAGAATTTATTTAAAAGAGGAAAAGTTCTTCTCTAGGAAATAATAAGGTGCATAAATTCTCCTTGCATGAAATGATAATTAAATATTTAAGAAAAACAAATATACACTCTTGAAGATTTCCCACAAAACGGGAATGAAATTAAAATATTTTAAAAGTAATCTTTACCAAATCTCTTGTCTCACTTGCAGAGAATAAAATCTCCTTATTATTTAAAATAAGTTCAAAGTATATCGCGGACAAGGGCGTGAATAATTCTCAATTAACAATAGATGTCGAGTTATATTAAAGCGGCTCGTAAAACATAAATAAAGTCCCAATTAACCGAGCACGGTTCCCATGATCGCTCGGTGGTCAGTGGATATTTTCCAAAGAACAGAGCATAAGAATACGAGGCCAAAAAGCTTAATTAAAATTCCCACATTTTCTCGCAATCTTTTATTCACGATCATCATTATGCGGCGTGAAATGTCCTTCAGGCTTCGCCAGGCTCACGACACGCAACGAGATTTTGGATCGTCGTTGAAAACAAGGTTGGGGCAGGGAAACAAGAAAGAGAGACCTTGGATCTCTCTTCGATGGATCCGCGATTTTCCCTGAGCGGGGGCGAGGTTCGGCTCTAATGAGGCCCACAGTTTCTCTCTCTTTCTCTCTTTTATAGACGAGAGTTGCCACATAGGAAGAATGCATTGCATGCCGTCGTTTAAACGCACGGAAACGCTCCTTATCAGATAGCATTCGGCTTCAAACCGTTCCTCGGTACCACTTTCGGAAACGGCCGACATTACGTATGGTAATTTTCTAATTGCTTTATTTCAATCGGCTCGCGAAGGAATTAGAATCGCCCTTGTGTCTCTTAAAAATCGCAGTTATAGCAAAATTTCTTCTCTTCAAGCGATATATATTATATATATGACATTAATAATAATATATAATAATAATATATTAATAATTTAATATTAATATTAATAATTAATAATAATATATAATAATAATATATTATTAATTAATATTAATAATAATATATAATAATAATATATTAATAATATAATATTAATATTAATAATAATATATTATAAATTAATATTAATAATAATATATAATAATAATATATTAATAATATAATATTATAAATTAATATTAATAATAATATATAATAATAATATATTAATAATATAATATGAATAATAATATTAATAATAATATATAATGGCAATTGACGTGAGAAATAAAACGAGATTAATAAGAAGGTAATCTAATTTAATTATCGGTTAATTAGACGCCGCAGGAATCGAAGCGAGCTGACCGTCCGTCGCGTGTTGCGATCGGAGAATCTTTTTTTTTTTTTTCATTATTAGTGCAACAATCATACCTGGTTCCGCTCGGTTCCACTCGATGGCCGTACACGTTACACTTGTGCGCCTGCGATCTGCCGTGCGTATGCGCCTCGTATCCTGTAACCACACGAATACAGACATCATATTTTTTCGCTTGCGTTTCGCGAAAGCGCGCATTTCATCCTTAATTACTACCGCGCAATAAAGTCTAACTTTATATCGTGCGCACGTGTGTGCAGCTTCTCTCAAACGCATCGCGAGAGACCGTAGCTTGATTTGCTTTCTTAATTTTACTTTCCCCTTTAGAAGGTGAGTGAGAAACGATGACAATTTAAATTCCATTAAAAAGGGGGTAGTTCTCGACCTCCATCCCCCCCCTCCCCCGGTCTCGTCGCTGTCGGCGAAATTGACACGTAAGAGGACAAAAGAAACGAAGACGAAGAAACGTCGCTTTTCGATGCGCGAGTAAAGAGCCAATCGGCGCCTTCGTTGGCCGGATTGCTTGAATTATGGATGGCCATCCTCCTTGTCGGGGGTCGCGAGATTCCGGACGATCACACGCGACTGATAATTCCGGACCCTTCGGGCTCATCATCCTCCCACCCCCTCCGCTCTCCGAGAGAGAGAGAGAGAGAGAGAGAGAGAGAGAGAGAGAGAGAGAGAGAGAGAGAGAGAGAGAGAGAGAGAGAGAGAGAGAGGTCTGTCGGGCGTGGGTGACGCGGGAATAAGACAACGAGAGTTTCGCGAGGGGCGGGGGAAGGGGGTGAGGGGCTTCGCGCACCGTGAGAGATTTTCGAGAACGATTGTCGGGAATGCCACTCTCGCATGGCTCGTTCCCCGAGACGGGAACGGCAGCGAGAAGGGAGGACGTCCGCCCGCGCTCGACGTCTCTCCGCTTCTGAGAAACGTCACTTACGAAGCTGAGCCCTGTCTGCCTGACGCTACCGAGTCCAGCGTACCGAGTTACTGCTCGACAATAAAGGCGAGCATCGCCTTCCCCCGCCTCCTCTTCGTTCCCCTGGGAGATGCAGTCGCTCGCGTGACGTCATTAGGAGCGAGCTGCGCTTCTAAACATCAAGTAAATTTTGATGCAAATGGCATAAGAATCTGTCAAATTCAAAATTAACTCGTTTATGTGAAATTAATCTTGAAGAGAAGAATAAAGAAAAATAATTAATAAGAATTTAATCATCCCTTATTGTGATAGAGATAATATGAATGTAAATAATTTAATTATCATAAAGATAAATTTGTACAATTTATCATTCCATGAATTAAAATAAATAAATAATAATAATGATTGGTATAATTTTATAATGTAATGAAATAATTTTATAATAAATAATTTTATAAAATAGTTATATAATTATATAATTATAAAACAATTTTATAAAATAATAAAATAATAATTAAGCGTGTAATTTGATAACATAAGATAAATAAAAAATCATTGATTAATCTTATAAGAAAAGGTCTCTTTCTATAGCAAAAGAAATAAATGATACGATTATAATTACGTTTGCAATTATATTTGACTCTATCATTAGAGGAGGAGAAAGAGAGGGAGATGGAGGGTCTGAAGCATCGCATACATTTTGCGGAATTATATAGTCATATACACGGAGATAACAGCCGAATGGCCTTTGAAATTTAAGGCCATTCGTGTAGGAACACGTTCGTTCGAGGGAGCTTACGTTTCTAAACTGCATCTTTGCATGGATCTTGTCATCCTCCCTCCCCCCAGTAGCGATTATCATCAACCGACACGTTAATGCATACCCGTTTCTTCCCGTTTGTAGGTGGACATGATGTCCGCCGTGACATCGGGAAAATGTATTTACCATTTTCGTTATCACGACTCATCTTCTGCGCGCGTTTTAACGTTATAGGCCGAGGCAGGACATTCGCGTATAAATTGCCGACGACCTTGGTGCCACCTTGTAAAGCGACAAATAACGATGCGATCGATTATTCTTAGGCCGCTCGCGAATTAAAATGTGGCCGCACACGCCAGAGTCGTTCATTTTGGCGAACGCCATTAATTGTGACTGTTGAAGCTATCAATTCCGACAATTATTTATAATTTCTGTTTATAATTTCTATCTATAATTTCAATAAAAAGTTTTCATTTTATATGTTTTATTTTTTATCTTTATATCTGTATTTTTCATAGTGATTTAAATAAATTATTAAATTATATATATTAATTCAATTAAATTATATAAATTATATATAGGGCGAAAAATTTTAGGAGATGATTATACTCCTCAATTAACATTCCTCCAAAAATGGGAAATTAGGTTTTTATTTTTTTCTCAATAATTATGCAAATATTTTTTTCTCATATAAATAAATTATTAAATTATATATATATTAATTTAATTAAATTATATAAATTATATATAGGGCGAAAAATTTTAGGAAATAATTACACTCCTCAATTTACATTCCTCCAAAAATAGGGGTGAAAATTAAGTTTTTATTTTTTTCTCAAATTTCGAACAAATTAAAGAAATGAAATTAGGTGGATATTTTCTATTAGTGAAAAGGTTATTTATTAAAATTTCTTTCAGCCTCTCGTATAAGGGGATGGAACTAGCAACCTCTATTTAATTTTTGATTACAACTTTTTAATGTTTGTATGAAAAACTCCCTTAATTTTCGACAAAGAATCATCTTCTAAAATTTTTCGCACTTAAGAAACATCCTGTATAAAGTAAAATTCTCATATATCTATTTAATAATAAAATTTTCCTTCTATACATTTTTCTAATGCATAAACATATATAATTCTTATATAAAAAATCTACATATATTTTAAGGATGTTTTATTTGTATAATCCCAGCAAAATTTAGCTGAAAATCAATATTGACGAATATGCACTTTTGGTGTATTTTGAGTATGAGAAATTATGTGGAATATTACAATTTGATTTCGATCTTAGCTACAGTGCATAGATGTATTTTTTAATATTTATTGTGTTTTTACTGAAATATTCCGAATTTTTTTAATCAAAATAATTAACGTTGGCAGAGAATTTCGCCTTGTGACAGATACATGGCTAACTTCATTAAATTATATTTAATATCTTTTTAACCAATTAGTACTTGTATAATATTATTTGACCAAATATTTCCTCTGTATCTAAACTTTCGCAAATTTTCAATAAATTCTGAATATTATTGCCATGTCTTTTTATCATTTGAATCGACGTGGTTATACGTTTCCCATAGGAACACATGTTAATTCGGTGCAAATTAAAATCCTTATAACTTGTGACTCGATTTAAAAATTGTACTGAAGATTCTAAACACATGTAAGGACATTCCGTACAATTTTCATTAAATTCTCAATATTTTAAAAATAGGTACAAAACATCCTTCCAAAACAGGTACACCCATTCTTTATGACAGAATGTCCTAAAGAAAGAGAGAAAAGTGAATCTTATTGCAAATTTATATTAATTAAAATTATTTTTTTTAATTATTTATATTTAATTAAATATTAATTTTTTTGCAATGAAACGTTAAACGTTAATTGTAGAAGACGCGAGGCGAGAAACGAAAGCCGGGTTTAAAACGCCGCTTCGCAATTATTTGCAACAAACCGAATGCAAGCGGATGCCATTTTCACGTGCGCGACGAGGTAACGTTGAATGAAATCACGCAATGAGATTTCCTCGTTAGCGTCCGCGCCATTCACCAATTTAGCAACGTCTGCGCCGTTAACACAAGTTCTTACGTTAGAGAAGGTTTGTGCAATTACGGCGATTAATAATTGCGCGTCCGTTGTGTGGAAATGGTTTCCTCGCGAGCGAGAGCGAGAACGTTGGACGGGCTAATTTTCAATTTTTAATTCGCCTGTTTACTCTCGCGTCTGTTCTCTCTCTCTCTCTCATTTTATTTTCTTTTTTTTTTTAATTGTTTTAAGCGAACGTTGTTAAGTAACCGCGCGCGAGCCTCATGGAAATTTATGGTAATCCACGACCGGTAATTACGCTCGTAATCAATTCTCGGGACTATCGTGCCTCGCCGTCTCCAAGACTCCGTCTGGCCGTTTCTCGAAATGTAAGCATCACCGGCCGCCATTATTCCGTTCGTGCGGACGCGAGGAGCGTGATAATTAATTTTTGAAGGAGAAGCTTCGGTCGAAATCTCGCAATTAATTTCTCCCGCGTGCGATTCGCGTCTCTGAAACCTCCTGGGACCTCGGCTTCTCGGCGCGACATCGAGGATGCCGGGCTGGAATCCGGGAAAGAAAGCGGCGGCAAATTAGCAAGGCAGATAGGCCACGGCTCGACTGGCAGCGAGGTACAAAAAGCTCCGGCAATTTGCCAATCAAGGATCACGGAGGCGCGAAGCGCCTCGCATACCGTCGACGGGCAACCGGGGGACAAAAGGTGCTAACTCAGACAAGACAGGAGTTGAGAGGTCGGTTCCCCAAGAGCGCCGATCCCCGTCGTATATTCTCGCTCGTCCAGGTGATTCCCTGAGGAATTCGCGGAATGAAGGGGCTCCCGCGCGATAAAAAGGACTCTAATTCACCCCGAGAATTCTCCCTTGTCAGGCACCTGATCGAGGTAATCGTCCGCCAGCCTCGAGATCGAAGATCGCGCGATCGGAGGATCGGCGAAATTATTTCGGAGCGTTATTGGACTCCGAGATATATCGGGTGTACAAAGTCCTCGGAAGAAGAGGAAGGAGTCCTCGTCTCGCGCGCGTTCCAATTGATTCCGCATTTAAATTCGGCTAAATGCGAACTCGATGGCGAGATAAACGCGCCTGGTTCGACCCGAGCAAGGTGGGTTTCGCGTTCTCGCACGCACCGATCCGGGGCGCCGATAAGCCCCTCGGAAACAGCCTTCGCCTTCGCGAAAATTCGTGCCACCGGTCACGTGCGAACGTGGCCGTTAATTGAACGATTGACGGCTTTCGTGAGCCGCGATCCTCGATTCCGAATGCAACGTGTGGCGTGGAATGCGAAGGAGGGGGAGTAAATTTCGCGAGACGGCTCGTTAAGGGATTGTTCGCGAATTAAGCGAAAGGAAAAACGAACTTGTGGAAGTCGCGCCAGGTTTCATCGATCGTTTCCCTCTCGCTTCGTTCGTGTGTCACGA